CGCCCCCCCGCGCCCCCCGCCGGCGGTCGCCAGCGGGAGCGTGGGGGCCGCCGGCAGCAGTTCCCTCCGCTCCGGCCGAGGCAGAGGGATGCCTCAGTGCCGAGCCTGCATCCCTGGCTCCCCCACCGAGGGAGGAGGATGCTTCGCTTCACTTCACTGCCAGAGCCTCTTCCCTGGTGGTTCCTGCTTCCTTTCAGCAGGAGCAAGGCCGAACTGCCATCCCCAACCTGCGCCCACTACTTGTTGAGCCGTGGCCGCCCTTGCCGGGCTCCCTGGGCCCGCGAGTCTGGTGCTGGGTGGGACTGGCTGCCCTCGCCGGGCTGCCGGCAGCACTGCTGCCATGCTTGCTGGCCCCGGCGCACCGAGCTGCTGTGTCAGCCGGGGAAGACCCTGTGAGTCAGCGCTGCCGCCGTGCAGCCACTTGTGGCCCCGACCCCTGCCCTGGCGCCTGCCGCTCGCCGTGATGCTTGTGCTGACAACCACAGGGTGCAGGGGGGGTCCCTGGCTCCCGGCCGCCCCAGGCCCTTGGCCAGAGCTGTGGCAGCAGGCGCCCGTCTATAAACCCCCCTCGGCAGCCCCCGGTGGGAAACCGGAGCTTGCCGGCAGGGACGTGGCCGTGACCGAAGGAGTGCCTGGGGCCGGGGCCGGCAGCTGTCGTGCGGACAGGGATGTCGATGCTGCCGGCCCTGGCCCGGCTCCAGCTCTCCGTGGCCGGCAGCCGCGCCGCCGCGTGCTCCCCAGGCCGGAGGGTGCCGGGGCTGAGCCGGAAAGCGAGGATGCAGTGGCTGGGTTTTGCCTGCTCTCTGCCTGTCCCTCGAGTGTGGGCAGGATGGGGCCTCTCCTGCCTCCGGCATGGCACCGCTGCTTCCCAGAGCCACGAGCAGCCGGTGCAGCGCCACCGGGGTGAAGCATCCTGCCACCTGCGCGGTGCGTGGAGGATGCGTGCCGGGGGTGCTGAGGCGTCGCCGCAGTTCGGCCAAGCCCCGCCCATTGTTTGCCGCGAGCGTGGGATCCAGCAGTGGCTCTTCCTGCTGGGTCCCTCCGGACCCGGCGCTGGCAGGAGACGTTGGTAAATGCGGTGGGTGTGCGGCAGCCTTTGCCAATAAAGCTCGCTGGGAGGGCCGGTGGGTCCCCATGCTTCGGGCAGGCAGGATTAGTGCCCCTGGGAAGGGTCTGGCCAGAGCAGCCTCGGCATGAGCCCTGCCCTGGAGTTTGCCTATTAATAGCCGTTGTTTGGTCCCCGGCACTTCTCTCAGCACCAGCCATTATATCCACACAATTGTGTGGCTGGAGCCAAGTCGTTTAACAATGCGCCACCGCCTCCGCGGCAAATAGTCCCTTCTCTGCGTTTAAATACCCCGTGGGGATGGGGAACACCAGGGAGAGGGAGAGGAGCGAGGCTGAAGGCAGCCCGGCACGCTGGGGAGCAAAGGATGGGCGCGGCATGCCGTGAGCGTGCCAGGTCTCAGTATGTCACAAGCACGCTAGGTCTCAGCACGCCGTGAGTGTGCCGGGTCTCGGTGTGCTGGGGACGGGGTGGAGGTGTGGGACGGGTGCGGTGGCAGGGCAGGTTGGTTTGGAGATAACACCTTGGCGAGGGGCTGCCAATGCCCGGCGGGTGCCCCAGCACCAGCAGGCCTGGATTGTGGCCGACGGCAGCATGAGCTTGCCAGCAACTGAAATGGGGTCTGGAGGGGAGCCCGTGGGAGGGGATGGTGAATCCTGCTCTTCCCGGTGAGGTCCTGGGGAGCAGCTGCTTTGGCCACCAGTGAATCAGGGGCGGGTTTAATTTACATAGAGCTAATTAGCAGGAGGATCTAATTAGACCATCCATTAGGGTGCCATAATATTGGGCTCACGCCAGATGCGGCTGGGGCACTGGCGTCGTGTGTCCCAGCGAGGGGAGGCTGGTAATTACACTTGGCACAATCGGATTTAAAAAAAACATTTTGGAGAAAGGGCCGCTCTTGCCTGTGGTGCCGGTGACGCCGGTGGTGCCCTCACTACCGTGCCAAGCTGCTCGGGGTGGGAGCTGGGGTGGCTGAAGTGCCTGTGAGGAGGGGGAAGCGGGGTGGGGGGGGGCAGCATCTCCCTGGGGGTGCAGAGCCCGGCGTTGCGGCCAGTGCTGGCAGGGTCCCGTGTCCGCATCCCCCCTAACACCTGCCCTGCTCTTGCCTTGCAGGACTCCATGTTCTCCCTGGCCCTGAAATGCCGTATCAGCCTCTCTACTTTCCTCCTGCTGGGCCTCATCATCGCCTACCACACGCGGGAGGTGCAGGTAGGTCCCCGTGTCACCGGTGCCAAGCAAGGGGCTGCCAGGGTGGGTGGCTGGGGTGGGCTGCGGGGTTTGCCAGCCACCCTGGTGGGATGCAGTACCTGAGCTCGCAGCCTGCATGGAGCCTCCTCCCTCCTTGCTGGGGTCTCGGGGGGCAGTGAGGCATCTCGGGGGCAGTGAGGCTGGGCACCAAGGGGTCTGCCCGGGTGCAGGGTGCCCAGCGGAGCTGCCGGCGGCTGGGGGAGGCTGCAGCCAGGAAGGGCTCGGACCAGCTGAGGTGCCAAGGAAAGCTGTGAAATCCTTTCCTAATCAGGGCTGTCCACTCTCTTCCTCCCTGCCCGCCCTGGCTTTGCTGGGAAATGAAAGGGCTCCCAGTTTGCTCCAGGAAGGCTGTGCTTCCCCACGAGATCTGGCTTCAGCACGACGCCGGTGCGTTTTGGGCACGGGAGGAACGAATCACCAGACAGGAGAAGGAGCGTCCCGGGAAGGGATGCCGAAGCCCCCGGCCCTGAGTGCTCAGTGTTTTGGTGCACCGAAGATCCCACCTCGTCCCACTCAAGGCTGGGGGGCTGGAGGCAGGCCTCCTGCCTGCAAAGGGACCTTCCTAGGAGCCACCCCTCCGGCTCAGCCTGCCTGCACGGGGACTGAGCCCGGCGGTGGGTCGCTCAAAGCAAATGTTTGAGAGCTCTGTTTTTTGCTAGAATAATATTTACCCCGGGGTGGCCGCAGTTGGGGTCAGCTGGGCGGGCCGTGCCCCGACGCTCGCCAGCTTCCTCCACTTGTTGTTCTTGGGAGCGGGTTGTGCAAACACAGCGTCCACCCGAGTGGCGTGTGGGGCTTCCCGCCTCTTGTCCCGCTCCGCTTGTGGCCAGAGCCAAAATCCCCGCTGCCGTCCCTCCGCAGGGTCCCGGTCCCCAAGCACGCGTGCCGTGCCGGTGCGGGTGCCGAACCTTGCCATGGTCCGGCCATGTGGCCCCGGCTGCTCTCCTGGGCTGGTTACACTGGCAGGGAAGGGAATGAGATTGGTTTGACTTGATTTGCTCCAGACAAAACCGTGCTGGCTGCTGATCGCCCTATTATCTCTTAGGTGCTTATAAAGGGATTGCTGATAATCCAGCCGGGGACGGAAGCGGGGCTGACAGAGCTGTAAATCCTCAGCTTCTCGTCCCTCTTGTCTAAGGGGGGGCTGCGCTCGCCCTACCGCAGCACTGCCAGACCTCCCCGGCCTCCAGGAAAGACTCGGCAACGGCTTCAGCCTCCTCCCTCAGCATTAATTGCGTTAATTGCCAAGTCCTTCAGGACATTTGCAGCTCTCCCTGTGCCTTGGTTTCTCCGGGGCTGGGGCATCGCTGTGCTTGGGGTCCTGGGTCCAGCTCCTGGGGTCCTGCCTGTCCCCTCCCTGGCTGCCTACGACCACTGTCATCCGATGGGCTGGGATGGCGTCGGGTCCCCAGGGTGTCCCTGTGCCCATCGCCTGCCAGCCAGGGCTGCAGGTGAACAAGATCCTCCCGCCCCCCCCGGCCTCACAGCTCTGCTTTCTGCTGCAAGGCCATGAGCTGCTGCTAATTGTATGTGTCACACCTTCTTCGTTAGGCTGAGCGTGTGCAGAGAGCTGCCAGCAGCGCTGCCAGGTCCTCGCCCTCCCTGTGCCCGCAGGCAGGGGCTGACCCGCTCTCTGTGGCACCAGGCTCAGTGCCCTGGAGATGGCTCTGGTCTGCACCCCGGGGCAGGGTCTGCCACTGCCGCGATGCCCTGGAGCGGTGTGGAGCGTGTCATCCCCTGCCAGTGCCGCCTTTATTGCCACGGCGCGTGACGGAGCGCAGTGCTGGTGAGGCTCCAAGCTCCAGCTGGGGGGGTTTGGGGGGGCACAGCCCCCCCCTCGTCCCTGCCCTCGTGGTGCCCAGGGCTCTTTGGGCATTTAGTTAGGTGAAGCTTTTTCCCCCACATGGCTTCTCAGTGGCTTTCCTTGTGCTTAGCTTGTCTGGAGCTGCGGTGGCCAACATGCTTGCTTCTTCCCCTGCCAGAGCCGGTGCTAGGGATGCTGGGGATGCTGGGGATGCCCCGTTGGGTACCGCTGGACCGCGCCGGGGTTTCCATAGAAACCCACAGCGAGATGTGCTGCAGATGCAGGTCTGAGAGGGGCTGGCACAGGGGGAACCTGCCCGAATCCCTCCTTGCTCTTTCCCTTCCCCAGCCTGGCCCATTGCAAACCCCTCACACGCAGTCAGAAGGCTCCCTGCCTTTTTCCTCTTGCTAATTTGTTTATTTTTAACACCCTTTTCCAGGAAGGAATGGGCTGTCAGCTTGCTAAATGCCTGAGGATCTCCCTTGACAGCTTGGAGCATTTTTATAAACAATTTCTCAAACAAAGCAGCTAAAAGGAGTGGAGCTTTCCAAACAGAAAGGGAGGTGGCCGGGGACGGCCGCTCTGTGAGTCAGTCCCAGCGGCTCTTGCCGTCCCCGGGGAGAGCCCTGCATGCTGTGCCATGCTGGCGAGGCGGCTGGCGCAGGTGCACTGGGGCCTCCGGCGGGGCGGGAGGGTTGTTCCTGGGCGCAGCGCCAGCCAGGGCCGTGCTCCCACCCACCGCCTGGGCTGGAACGGCCACAAGAGCTCCTGGCCTCCCGGATGAACCGGTGTCACTCCACACTTTGCAGGGTCAAGGACTTGCCGGTGACGGTAGAGCTGGCTGCTGTGTCCCCCTTGGATCCCTTCCCAGTGGCATCTTTGCCAAGCATGGCTTGTGCAAAGTGCGTCCCCGCTGCTGTAGGTGACACCTGTGTCCCCGTTGCACCAGGGACAAGCCGATGGCAGCCTCGGGACGGACCTGCCAAGGCAGGATGGGGTGGGTGACCCCCAGGGGTCTGGTGGCATCCCGGAGGGGCCAGCCCGAGCTGCTGTTCCCCCAGCTCCCACAGAGACCCCGACTCTGTCACCAGTGGTGGGAGAGGAGCTGGTACCCAGGATGAACCGGCGGTTGCTATGACAACCGGATCCCATTGCTGCCAGTGGCCAAGTGCTCTGGCTGTGTCATTCCCTCCCCAAAAGTTGCCCTGGCACTCGGGGCATGGTGGCTGTTGGTGACACTGGTGCAGCGCCGGCAGAAATGAAGGGGCTGGGGTGGCTTGTGCTGGTGCTCTGTGGCACCACAGCTCGCCCGTCTTTGTGCCCCAGGTGAGGAGGCTGTGCCAGGAGGTGGGCTCCTGCCAGCGGGTGTGCGGGAGTGGGTTGGAGTGAGCTTTCCCCATGCTGTGCCTGGGCGTGTGCTCGAGGCCGGGCACCCTAAAGCTTTCTGGGGTGTCCCCACCGAAGGGGCTGGGGTGGCTTGTGCTGGTGCTCTGTGGCACCACAGCTCGCCCGTCTTTGTGCCCCAGGTGAGGAGGCTGTGCCAGGAGGTGGGCTCCTGCCAGCGGGTGTGCGGGAGTGGGTTGGAGTGAGCTTTCCCCATGCTGTGCCTGGGCGTGTGCTCGAGGCCGGGCACCCTAAAGCTTTCTGGGGTGTCCCCAGCACCATAACTGTCCCCTGAACACACAGGCAGAGCGGCGGAGGGGATGGTGAAGGCTCATTCCTACCTTTTCCTTCCTCATCCATCCCCAGCCCTCCTGGTCGAAGCCATCCCCGGCTCCGCGGGGCTCTGGTGTCAGTCCCACCCGCTGCCCACGGCAGGATGCTGGTGGGGCAGGGTTGGCCAGGGCCACTGGTAACCGTGTGGTTTTGCATCCTGGTAGCTCTTTGTGATTGACAACGGAGCTGACGACTGGCGGATAGCGATGACGTACGAGCGCATCCTCTACATCAGCCTGGAGATGCTGGTTTGTGCCATACACCCCATCCCTGGGGAGTACAAATTTTTCTGGACAGCCCGCCTGGCTTTCTCCTACACGCCTTCTCGGGCAGAGGCAGACGTAGACATCATCCTGTCCATCCCCATGTTCCTGCGCCTCTACCTGATCGCTCGGGTGATGCTGCTGCACAGCAAGCTCTTCACCGACGCCTCCTCACGCAGCATCGGGGCACTCAACAAGATCAACTTCAACACCCGCTTTGTCATGAAGACTCTCATGACCATCTGCCCCGGGACAGTGCTGCTGGTCTTCAGCATTTCCCTCTGGATCATCGCTGCGTGGACAGTCCGGGTGTGTGAGAGGTGAGAGGGGCTGGGGCTGTGAGGCTGGTTTGGGATGCGCGGCAGTTTGGGGTGCTCAGCAGAGCTGCGATGTCGCAGCACCCTGTGGGAGGGATGCAAAGATCTGGGGGCTCGGCAGCCACAGATTCCCACTGCCGAGCCCCCATCCTGGGCAGGAGGCAGAGACAGGGACAGCCCTGTCCTCGCAGCGCAGTGCCTGGGGACAGGCAGGGTCCCCATGCGAGGGGACGGTGTGTGGTGCCAGCTGGTGCAGGAGCCCAAGGAGGGCAGGTGGGGGATGCAGGGAGTGGCGGGAGCTGGGGGGGCCGTGCACAGGGAGAGGCCGGAGATGCCGTGAGGCTGTTGAGTGGCAGCGCCTGGCTTGGGCTCTGGCATCGCTGCGAGCGACTGCCATGACAACACCGTGGTGACAAACCCACTGCCGGATGGCATCACGCCGGCATCGGCGTGCTCTGCGCGGGGGTTGCTGTGGCGACCGGCCCCGGCGGGTACCACTGTGCCTCCATCTCTCGGGTGCATGCCAGCACTCCTTTGTCCCCCCAGGGGAACCAGGGGGCTGTGGCAGAGCACTCACAGCCCGCCCCAGCGCTGTGCTGGAGGGGCTTCTCCCCGACCACGGTGCAAGGTGCTGGTGGTACCTGTCCATCCCGGGGCAGGGAGGGCAGGTCCCCCGGGGGGTGTCCCAGCGCAGGGCCATCCCTGTCACCGGGAGGCTGAGCTTGATGCTGTGCTGCCGTCAAAGCACGGCTAATTGCCCTGGAGGGCTCTCGGAGCCCAGGTTGGTCTGCAGGAAAGCACCCAAGACGAGTGCATGTTATGACTTGGTGTCCGTGGATTAGCTGAATCACATGAAATCCCTTTAAGTTGTCGCGGCAGCTTCGTGCCATCCTCGGAACCAAGGTGTGAGGGGATTGCACCTGCCAGCACCCTGGGGTCCCCTGGCATGCCCAGCTTGCTTCTGGGTACTTGCAAGGCAGGAGGAAGGCCACCCTGCCTCTTCCCCAGGGTGGGACCCCTTGTGCTGGTCACCCCGTGAAGGGGCATTAGAGCAGCTTTAAGTACCGTGGCAGCGGAGCGGCACGCTATTTTATGAGCTTTTACAGGCTGCATTTGCCTTCCTGCCTCCCTTAATGATGCTCTCAGGATGTGCTGGATGGTCGTGCGCTGCTTAATTGTGTTTGGGAGATTTTTATTTGTGCCTCCTGAACGGGGAGCGGGCAGACAGGCTCCCGGGGGATGCGCAGGGGGTTGATTCTGCACCTGGGGGGCTTAGGCTGGAAAACACAGTGTAAATAAAGAACCAAAAAAAAAAAAAATAGAAATGACGCAGACAAGGCACTGCAGATCACCGGCACCGCAGCTGCCGCGAGCCGCCGAAAAAAAAAAAAAATAGAAATGACGCAGACAAGGCACTGCAGATCACCGGCACCGCAGCTGCCGCGAGCCGCCGCCGCCTCCCTCTGTCTACAGAGTGGCAGATGCAAACCCGGGCGGGCTCCCAGCTGGGCTGGGGATGCACTGACCTGGGGGAATGCACACTGGGGTGGGGGATGCAGGACCCCGGG